TAAGCAAAAAGAAAAAAGCCGGAAGTGGCGCTGTGGCTCAAGTGGTAGAGTGCTAGCCTTGAGCTGAAGAGCTGAGGGACAGCGCCCAGGCCAGAGTTCAGGCCCCACTACCAGACCCCTCCCCCGAAAAAAAGCCGGAAGTGGCACTGTGGCTCAAGTGGTAGAGTGCTAGTCTTGAGCTGAAGAGCTGAGGGACAGCATCCAGGCCCAGAGTTCAGGCCCCACAACCGGACCCCCCCCAAAAAAAATAATTCTCCCCCTGCCTCCTACCAACCTCATGACAAGGTGGAAATCTAACAAGGCATAGCAGGGCTGTTTTGTTTTTTTTTAGACCTGGTTCTAAGAGAATATAAAATCTCACCCAGACACACAAAGCTCGCTCGTGTTGGAGCAGATGGTGGTGGACTTAACGGCTCCTCCAGGTGCAGGGGGAAGCGTGGGAAGGGCACGTGCTGACAGATGTTGGCCCGCATGGGCCTTGAGGGCCCCGAGCTGCAGCTGCTGAGGGAGCCAGGCAGGGAATGCGGGGCCGTGAGGATGCAGCCGCGCCAGGCCGGCCTCAGCCACGGCTGCCCTCCAGCCCTGGCACTCACTGTGACGTCACCGGGCCCAGCTCTGCCATGCATTTGTGATGCCCCCCTGGAGCCACTGCAGCCGGAGGGGTGCCAGCCTGGGCTGATGGCGGATTGGGCGAGTCTGGACTGGAACAAGAGGAAGATGCTCCCACTTGTGATGGTGTTGCTCCTAGCACTCAGGGGACATGCCCACGATGACGGAGGTCCGTGCCAGCCTACAGTGGGTGTTACCTGGACGTGTGTGTGTGTGTGTATGTGTGTGCGTGCGTGCACATGCGTGCCCATTGTGGGGCTTGAGCTCAGGGCCTGGTGCTCGCACTTGGCTTTTTGGGTCCAGGCTGGTGCTCTTTACTTGAGGCAGCTCCATTTCTGACTTTCTGGTGGTCATTGAGAGCCGAGACTCATAGACTTTACTGCCTAGGCTGGCTTTGAACCATGATCCTCAGACTTCAGTCTGCTGAGCAGCTAGAATTACAGGTGTGAGCCCCTGTCCCCTTTCAGATCTCCTTCCCTTCTGATCTGGAAAATTCCCATCCATCTTGTGCTTTGAGTCCAGGATGCCAGTAGGTCTGCCTCAAATAAAATCCAGGACACCAGTAGGTCCGCCTGCAGATCCAGAGCGTATCAGCAGCTTGTGTGTGCTGCCAACACTTCAACTCGTGTCTTGATAGCCACGCTGGCTTGAGCAAACTTCTCTGCCATCCCCTGAGTTCCAAATACTCGCTCACTGCGTTCTGAACCCCAGTGTGCAGCAATGCTCCAAGTCTGCCCCTTCTTGAGGCGCTCTCCCCCAGCCCCTGGGAACCCTTAGAGTCTTCAACTCTTTATAGTTAGCCCAGTTATAGTCTGTGACTCTTCCTAGCAAGTTCTCTGTTCAAACTACCACACAGTGTCTCCTGAATGGACCATACAAATCTTTGCTGTGTTAGCATAGTCGTATTCCAACCTTTGTTTGTGCATGTGTGTTTTGGTTGAGCTCTGTCTCACAATTCTTTGTGGATGTAATAAACACAAGAGGAGGTGTGATTTGTTGGTGTCTTGTCCCCTCAGCACCTTGCCTGACTTCACCCAGCGTGGGAGGTGCTCACGTGGATCGGGGGTGTGGGGGGAGGCCTTCTCGGGGACAGTGGCTCTTTCCTTGTTTCAGAAACCGTTCGGTGCGGCTACCGACCCGCCTTTCCAAACTCATCGTGGCTGCCATTCCGCGAGCTGCTTGAGGTTCAGCATGGCGAGTTCCCCTGGCAAGTGAGCGTCCAGGCTTTCCAGAAACACGTGTGTGCCGGCGCCATCATCCACCGGTGGTGGGTTCTCACGGCCGCCCACTGCTTCCCGGGAACGCTGTGAGTGTCTGGGACGTCGTCTTCGTTCACACTGCGTCTCGTCCACATGCGATCCGGCCGGTCACCCTCTGGGCTGGGGGTTGAAGCCAGGACTCTGATCCAGGATGTTCCAGTTGACTTTGGAACCAAAGTCTGCTCCTTCTCACTGTCTCCTCTTCGCCATATCACACATCCCATAGGTAGGCAGCAGTATCAGAAAATCAGTCCAGGACATGAGGACAATACACTACCCTCACTCATCCTGCAAGCACACACTGAGCACCTACTGTGTGCTGTTCAAGTGCACAGTCCGCAGTACAGCCAAGCTCCCTGCGGCTCAGATGCGCGCACCGCCTTCTCTCAGACAGAGTCACTGTGCCTCTGTGGCCGGCAGTTTCCCTGGCGTATGGTTTTTTGGCTCAGGGATTCACCTGGGTCTGGGCCTGACTCTGACGTAGCCGAGCTCCAGCCTGGTCTCGCTCTAGACCAAGGCATCACCTCTGGACTCCCCAGTGTTTAGTGTCTGAGTCGACTGTGCATGAATGTGTCGGTGAGGGCCAAGCATCCCACGCCCATGGTTAGCACTGGTGTTTGTATTTTAATTCTTCAGATTAGAAAGGGCCCTGATGAATGTCACCGTGGTCATGGGAGTGAAAACACTGAGTGACATCCGTCTGGAGAGGAAGCAGGTGCGGAAGATCATCGCTCACAACGATTACCGCCCGCCCCGCCTGGACAGCGACCTCTGCCTGCTGCTGCTGGCCTCCCCGGTGCACTTCACCAACTTCAAGATGCCCGTCTGCCTGCCGGGGAAGGAGAGCCGCTGGGACCGGTGCTGGATGGCAGAGTGGGTACCGGCTCAGAGGTATGGTATGTGCGCTCCCCTGGGGACCCACAGAGGGCCGGCACCCGGTGGCCTGGCTGGACAGCACGGTGCTTGGGATGTGGAAAGCTCAGGTCTGAATTCTGAGCATGATCTTTGCTCATCTCCAGGGTCACAGTAACGCCTCCTACAAATAAGCTGCCTAGATTCCATGCGTGAAATGGTACAGAAAAGGTCTCCATTAAAAGCCTGGAACAGAGACAAAAATCTCCAACACTTGAAAGCAGTGATCATTTTGATAGATTTTTCTCCCTACCCCTGCCTCCAGCTGGTTTACAAAGTCCTCCTTCCCACCCGCTGTCCACACGACTCAGACAATCACCCTTGATAACAGCAAGCCGGGGATTGTCTAGAGCAGCAGCAGCAGCAGCAAGGGTTTCTGGGAGGAAGGGAGTGGGAGGGGAGAAGGCCCAAGAGTTCTTTCAGCACCTTGGTCAGGTCAGTCCTTCTTCCGGTGACATTCTCTTCCTCATTTCTCCATTTGGCTCGGCAAGGCTGGGGTGCCGTGGGTATGGGGGTGTTACAGGGCCAGAACATGCCGAGAGGACCCTCCTGCCGGGAGACACGCAGGCCGATGGACTCTGCCAAGGCTGGGAGGAGAGTGGGTGGGGCTCGGCCCACGCAGGGCAGCCCGGGCGCTGGAGCTGCCGGCCCTCCAGGACGCCACTCCTGTGTGCGACCTGGTCACTGCCCATGGTGGCTGCATGCCCATTCTCAGATAGCCTTCCTCCCGTTGCCAGGCCCACACGACAACCTCAACATGAACCTGAAGAAGCTGAGGGTGGTTCAGATTAACAGGAGAGAATGCGCCAAGAGGGTGACCCAGCTCCCCAGGAACTCGCTCTGTGCTTGGCAAGAACTCCACACCAAAGGCACCTGCCAGGTACTCGGCCCGGCCAGGCCCTCCCTCCCCACACCCCAGCTGCTAGGGGCCCAGACCGAGAGGGCAGAGGGAGCCCCGTCTCCCACCCCACTGGCCCTGCCCCACATTCTTAATGGAGGCCCTACTGACTGCTTTCTCCTCTTTTCATTTCCAGGGAGACAGCGGGGCACCCATGGTGTGTGCCAAATGGGGGACCCAGAGGCTCTACCAAGTGGGTGTCTTCAGCTGGGGCCTGGACTCCGGCTCTAGGGGGAGGCCCGGTCTGTTTGTATCTGTGGCTCAATTCATTCCATGGATCCAGAAAGAGACCGAGAAGGAGGGGAGAGCCCTCCCCCTCTCAGGAGCCCCAAGAAGCTCCCTGACCCCTGCTCCACAGTGCTCCGGGTTGCTAGCCCTGGGGTCTCAAGTTCTGCTCGTGTCCATGTTTATCAGCGATAAATTATATGGCTAAGACTCGGACCCATCCATTTTCCTTCTCTTTTCCTACCCATTCTCGAATGCAGCACCCCCCCAAGCATCTGGGGAGCAGCAGGGGTTGGGGAGCAGCAGGGGTGGGCCCAACCCCAGGGCCTGGGAGGTAGACACAGGATTTGATTCTCCAGACCTCAGTGTGATGGTGTCCAACAGCACATGCTTTTTTCCCTCCTGACGCACACTCCTCCCTAGCCACGGGCCAGCCGTGGGCAGGACACACACATACCCGGGAGCCCCCACCCGAGGCTCAGATGCTTCAGGGTCCCGGGACTCGGTGAAGGAGAGTTAGTATCCGTCTAGTTTGGAGCTCAACATGGAGGTTAGGATGGAGACTTACAGACAACACCTTTCCCCCCTCCCCTTGCCATATCCAAAAAATAATTCAGCAGAACAAGATGTCTGTCCTCGCTGTCCCCATGGGCCGCTGACTGGGACCACAGCCAAGTATTCATCACGTGAAAGAGGATTCAAATCTGAGGAAGGCCAGGCGCCCAAGTCTCACGTCTGTCATCCTAGCTACTCAGGAGGCTGAGATCTGAGGATCACGGTTCAAAGCCAGTCCGGGAAGGAAAAATCTGTGAGACTCTTATCTCCAATGAACCACCAGAAAACCAGAAGTGGCGCTGGGGCTCAAGTGGTAGAGCACTAGCCTTGAGCTGAAGAGCTGAGGGACAGCGCCCAGGCCCAGAGTTCAGGCCCCATGACCGACCCTCCCTCCCACCCCCAACCAAAAAAATCTGAGGACAAGAGGGCAAGCGGGTAGCTCCACCAAAAAGAAACAGAAAGAAGGGACTCGGGCCAGGTTGACAGCAAGGACACAAATCTGTTTTTGAAAACCCTCGAGACCATCTTTGAAAACCAATGCTAACGCATTGCAGCCAGAGTGCAATGGACTCTTTTCTAGGCCTTTTGTTATAGCCACATCTACCTAGAACATGTACGAGGGAGACAGCCATGTAGTCCCACATGGGGGCAGAATGTTCACGCGTGCTTTCATGCTGCAGGCACGGCAGGCAGTGGAAGGACTCGGGGATGTGGAGGGGACGGACACACACCGTGCATCCCATAATCCTTACAATAGTGTATGTACACATTATCTACACACACGTGCGTTACATGCACGTATATCATTGTGAAGCAATCGTAATTAAAGCACTAGATAGGATTGTGTTTGGTATGCTCCTACATGTTCACGCGACGCTGTTTTGATCAAGAAGTCGATACTCGGAGATTTCTGTATTATTCAGGGTCTGAATGAGATGGTGCATGCGCTCTGTTCTTCCTTTCCGGGCCCACCACAGAAACGGTACAGAAGCAGGGCGGGAGGTGCGGTGCTGCCGGCAAATCTCTATTGATGCCTTGCTCCTGCTTCACCCGCGTCTTGGCCTGCTGAGCTCATCGATGCCGTTTCTAGAGCGCGGGGAAGGGCCTTTCCCTCTCACTTCTCTCACCCCGAGCCCACATCTGCACCGGGAAGGTAGGAGCTCGGTGGAGGAGCCCGGGTGCCTCGTGACAGCTTAGAGAACAGCAGAAATTCTCCTTCTGATGAAACTCACACCCAATCACACAGGCTGCCTGCCTTGTGCTCGTGTAGCTTTCAATCATTCCAATGGGATATTTCCAAGTGTTTTAAAAGATAAATGTTAAAGCTGAAAAAAAACTACGAGAAGAAAGGTTCCATGATGTATAGAATTTGGGGAAATGGTTAAACCCACGGCTCTAGTCATGATTGCTATCTCCATATGCCTGTATTTGTGGCCACAGAAGACTAAGGGAAGACTGTTTATTCAGATCCAAGCTTCACAATAAATTGACCTCTGCCACTGAACTCCATATATCTGACTTACTAATTTAGCTTGAACCATACAAATTGGCAAGCATTCCATAATTATTTTTAGCTACCCAGGGAGCAATTCTAAGTCGTGTAACTTAGGAGTTTCTACCGTGGAACTAGCAGTTCACACTTGTAATCCTAGCTACATGGGAGGCTGAGAACAGGAGGACCACAGTTCAAGAACACCCAGAGCAAAAAAGGCAGCAAGACCTCTACTTCTCAACTCCTAGTTGGGCTCAGTGGTGCAAAACTTTCATTGCAAGTTAGAGGAGAGGCCGAGAGGGGGAGAATCACAGTTCTAGGCCGGCCTAGGCAGAAAAGTCTGTGAAATTCTGTCTCCATGGACAGGAAGTTGGACACTGGTGCATACCTATGGTACCAGCAATGGGAAAGGTCTATAACAGAGGGATTACAGCTCAGACATGTACCAGGATTATAGCTTAGACACATACCTGGGCAGGAAGCGAGACCTCATCATAAAGCAGAGCTGGAGAGAGAGTTCAGCAGTATCATGATAACAACCTGAGGCCCTGAGTTCAAACCCCGATTCTTCTACCACCAGCAGCACAGCCCTCACACTCCTCTGGGCCTTTGTATTGTTTTCTACCCAGCTAGAATACGGCATTTGCTTCGTGGGGTGGCTGCACCCGAAGAATGACTTAGGACAACTAGGATTGTCTGGAGTCTGGAGGCCAGAAGTACATCACAGTGTTGCCCTGTGTCTGGCTGTGCTAGGGAGGGGCCTGTTTCAGGCCAGGCTCCTCTCACAGCTCCTGGGGAGGCCCTGGCTGATGGCACACCCACAGGCTTCTCGTGGGCTTCTCCCTGTGGTGCATTCGTTGAAAGCTCTGTTTTATAAGGACACTGGTCTTTGGAGAAAGGACCTTCCTTCCCAACTCTAACATGGCTTCACCTTAACTAACTACATTTACAGCGACCCTATTTCCAAATGACGCCCCTGCGTGGAGGCTGTGAGCTAGGACTTTAGCACAGGAGCTTGTAATATTTAAAATTGTTATTATAAAGGCGATGGACAAAGGGGTCACAGTTACGTAAGTTAGGTAAAGAGCAGGTTTCTTTTTGGACAGGGTCACCCCTCCCCTTGTTCTCTCCCAGTTTTCCCCTTTGACACGCGAGTTTTGAGGAGCACAATTCAACCACAACAAACACTTTCCCATTCTTCCCTAAGACCATCTCCATTTGGAAGCTCGTTCCTCTGGAGATCTCCTCCGCACACACCTGTGCACACCTCCAGCTCCCAGCAATGGTCTTGTGGACCTCCCTTGGCTGAGGCACGAGCTCCCGGGGCAGAGTGTCTGCTGTTCACCAATTCCCCATCCCTCAAGGCTGGTGTGAAGAAAGTGCTCCACCAAGTGGGAGATGATCCTTTGAATGAAGAAAGGAATGCCTCCCTGAGTGAAGAAATGCATGCATGCCCAGCACTGCCCTGCAGTGGATCTGTGTGTGTGTGTGTGTGTGTGTGTGTGTGTGTGTGTGTGGCGTGGCGTCTGCCGGAACACACACATCAGCACACGGATGTGCTCCATGCCCCGATGATGTATTATCGCTCCATGTTGCAGGTGAGCAGTAGAAAGTCATGTGACGATGGCTCCTCCTGCTGGTGGTGAGCTGGCTCCCGCATCCTCTGCTGCGGCGTTAGACCAGTACCTGCACCAGAAACCTTGGCTTCTTTCTTGTAAACTAAGGTCATGCCTGGAGCTGGCCTTCGGCTGCTTCCTTCTGACACATTCATGAGTCGGCGGGGACGGCATTGGCCAGCGTGTCACCCATGCGGCCACTGGTCATCCCTCTGCCCTGGCCACCCACTTCCTGGAGGCCACAGGAGCCGCGGGGCTGCATGGGCACAGGGCAGCTTCCCACAGGGCCCATTGTGATCTCGCAGTCAGGCTGGGCTGTGGGCCCGTGAAGCTCCCCTCCTGACGTGGAGACCGGGGTCCATGGAAAGGTGGAGGGAGCGAAGAGCGGGGCTGCTGCTGCCGGTCGCCCTGCTGCTGCCCTGGGCACACAGCTCTCTGGCACGTAGGTCTTTGGGGTATCCTGTGGCTGCGTCCTGTGAGCACCTGTCATTCTCCGAGGGCAGGAGGATCACCCAGGAGCTGGTTTCGAAGGCCAGGGCCTGGGGGTCCAGTTTGGCAGCTGTGGGTGGAGCGGGATCCAGTGATCTGCATTCCCAGAGGCCTCTCAGAGATACCTTAGAGTTGTGTGTGGAAATGACTGGTGTGTGTGTGTGTGTGTGTGTGTGTGTGTGTGTGTGAGAGAGAGAGAGAGAGAGAGAGAGAGAGAG